ATTGAAAAATTCTGAAGCAACCGAAGAAAATCTTGATGATCCATCAAAAATGAATTCATTAAATAATGATGACGACGATGATGAAACAAATGATAATCACTTTAATGAAACTAATGCTCTAAAATCAATACTTGCAATTATGCAGCCTAATGAAACTGTTGTTCGTGCAATAAAACGACTTGGAGCAGCTGCAACAAGGTACATTTATTTTCAGAGAAATATTTATTTATTTTTATCTAACTGTTTGATTATATTTTTAGTAATAAATCTAAACAACGTATAAAACAACGAAAACCCCTTCCCGGTGAAATTTCAACTGCATTATCTGTTGAATTAACACCTGAAGAATTTAAAAAAAATAAATTTTTACTTGAAGAAATGACTGGTCTTGCCGATCAGTTTGTATCTAATGGTCAGCTTGATATTTATCAAGAAACCTATGAACAACTTAAAACAAGACTTGATCATCTCCAATCATCTGCATCGAGTTCGACTAATAATCCAACATTTGATATGTATGGTGACAGTGCTATTGCTTCATCAGTTACCAGCTCAAAATTATCAACTAATAAAAATGGTAGATAGTATTTGTTTTTAATTTTGTATCATATCTCATTTATTTTTCTTTTTTTAAATAAAGATTCGTCGAATGTTCTTTGGGAATATACAACCGTTGACAATAATACTATTCAAGGCCCGTTCACAACTGAACAAATGATTCGTTTAACAAACATGGAAGAAAAATTAGATAAAGATAAAGTTCGTTGTCGCCGTATTGGTACTGAACAATTTTATTCTATAAAACGTATTGATTTTGATCTTTATCTCGACTAAAATAATTAATTTGTAAATAGAATAGTTCTTTGTTTTTCTTTTTTTCTTTATTTAATAAAAATAGTGTTGTTTTGTCAATCATTAATCAAATTATTATTATATTTGAATATTTTGTTGTGTTATTTATTAGTTCTAATTGTATTTTTCTGTAAAAACTATTCATATGCATTTGAAAAAAACAAAAAAAATATTTAATTATCTTTTTTAGTCTGATCTTAACAGCAACTGTTAGAAGGAAAAAGAAATGATGGAATAAAGAAAAAAAAATTATTATATATCAGACAAACAAAAGATATAAGTTACATACTCATAAGTACAGAAGAAATGAAAAGCGTCAGATATTATACATAAAGACAAAGACAAAAGGAAATGTAGAAGAATATACGAATGTGTGTGGATGAATGAAATAGTCGAAAGAAAAATGCTCGAATGACAGGGAAAGGCCTCCAAATGATCAGTTGTTTTCGAGCTGAAAGCATGTGTATCATGTAGATTTTAATGAACTATGAATATCCTAACAAGAGTTCGAGTTAATGACTTATTATTGCCGACATACTACATCTTTACGGTAGTTTTAAATACAATCTCGTGATTTTCCTCAGGACAATCGATCTTCGAAATTTCGACTAGCATGAGATTAATTAATCTTGAAATAGCAAATCATATGATGTGTTCTTGTATTGAAAGAAGAACATTAAATCTATGGGTGTATGTGAACAATGTAAAAGATGTTCTTTTGCTATGTCTGTATGATGAGATAGGGATTAAGAAAATATTTGAAAATTTCACAGTAAACTAGTATTGGTGAGATCAGTGTCTATGGAAACTTTCAAGTCATAATTCGAAAATCAGTTTTCCTCAAGCGAAGTACGACATTGTATAAAAAATACCAGAAGAAAAGCAACATGTCGATAACAATAAGTTATGAGCTCGAACTATTTTCAGGGTATTCATTACCTATTAGAGTCTACATCATGTACACATGCGAAACGTAGAAGTGGTTAATGAGCCAAGAACGTCCCTCATGAGATTGGAAAGGACAAGTAACAAAAAAAGTCAAGATATTAATTTAAAATATGAAAAAGAAAGATTTGTTCTCTATATCAGATGATAAAACACAAAGTCATTCGATTCATTTTGTCAACTGATTTATGTTTACTACGTATTAACTTTTATTATTATTACGTTCATTAAATGTAAAATACATAGCTTCTGAAACTCGACTTGAGAAGACTCATATTTGACGAAAATTGGAACGCATACCTTAATAAAAAATAAAAATAAAAAATTTGTTTGTGTAATGATTTTGCATGATGGTAGTTGAACTTCAGCAATGATATTAAGATTGAAAGTATCTTTAGCTAATTTTAGATCTTTGAATGTTAGTGTATAAGTTAATAGTGTTGTAGTTATAATTTTACTTAGTCATGGATTGATAAAAATTCTTTAGTTAATTGAAATGATACTGATTGAATTGTTTGTTGTTTTTTTTGTTTTTATAAACTTGGTTAATATCAACATTAGCAATACCAAAACTACTAACAGAATAAGTAATCTGACTAATTGTTAATGTAAAATGAACTTTTTATGTGATATCCATATTAGTTGAATCAATGTGACATTGTTCATATTGTCCATTATAAGTTGTAATATCAATTAGAACCGAGAAATTTTCTGAGCCTACATATTGATGGAAAAGCCAAACAGTTTTAATCCAAGCTTCCGTTCGAAAAATATCGTCTAATACTGTATTACAATAAGGATGAGTTTGTATTTACTAAACAATCCAATGAACTATGTCAAATATTGTTTTCCAATCATCATAACTAGCATAAATTAAAGGTACTAATGAATTAATTAATAATTGATCATCAAATGTCACGTTTTCATCAGTAGTTTTTTAGAATTTCGAACTACCTTCAGGTACAAAAGCTAATTGATGGTTACGAACATTTGCATCATTTTTTGTTCGAATTTTTCTGATAATGATTGACTTTGAATAAGAATCCGTTCAATTAATGCTGTTGTAAATAAACATGATTGAACAGCATTACGACATGATTCTAAATAACTTAGAGCTCGTACAATTGGAGTTTGTTCACTGTTATACAATCGATGATGAACAGAGGATACCACCGGTTTTGAAAAAGTTCTTCAAATTCAATGAAATTTTTACTGTAAATAGATCTTGGTGGGATATATTGACGCTGAAATTTTCAGTTTAAAAGGACTTAAAGCAACCGAGTTATAAAAGAGACAATGATATATATCGAAAAATGGTATATTTTATGAGATTGAAAGATGCTTATCAAAGTCGCTCATTTCAGAATGAAACGAATTGCTTTACAGTAAGGCAGACATAACATTGAATGCTCTATAGCCTGCGATAGATGGAATTTTTTTATAGTGCCGTTTATGAACTGAAAAGTAGGCCAAAATTTTTCTAAGAAACTTCAATCTTCTTACAAATCCTACTTTTTAGTGTTGCAGTCATATTTCCATAAGGAAAATCGTACTGAAAGATCAAATTTGTCCAAAACCGTGTCATATTGAGAATTACTATTAGACAAAAATTTCAAGAAAAATAATTCTCTCCGAAGCGACATATATTCACTGCAATATCCAAGTACTTCTGTCAGAGTTACTTTGAAATATTAGGAGAAGAGTCTTTAAATAATGACGATAGCTTGCTTGCCATGCAAAGGCTAGGTACCATATCAAGCAGGTCGTATGAATGTAAAACCCAATGTTTTTGCTTCCTGCTTTACACTGGCAACAGGCTGCTTGAATAAGATCAATAGGATCGGTTTCATCCTTCTCGTCATCTGATTTCTTCTTGACTCAATAGTAGCATTCTTCATTTGAAGAATGTCGACTATGAATACGATATCTAATAATATTCGGATGACGAGAGTGTACTTGAAATACAAAACCCCGTCTGGATCAAAATGGTTTTCCGCAAAGGTACGACTCTGCTTCAGTTGATACGAGCCAAAAAAGGGTGAGAAACTCATTCTCGGCCGAACGCGGAAAATCAATATTGTGTGCATCGACATTCCTCTAGTCAGTTCGAGCATTCAGATTATCATACTTAACAATATCTGCCAGCTTGTTTCGAGAGTTGAACAATGCAAGCATAGAATCTGCCAGCAGGTTGTGTTGTCCTTTATCATTTGGAGAAAAAACAGGCTTACGAAAATAATTTATCGCTACTGTGACGATGTGCACATAAGGTGCGATATTTGGCAACAGCGAGTTATGGATACGTTCAGATAAAAGAGTCCACTTTTTGACTGTACCATGAAATGCTTCAACTGTCCACAGTTTTTTGGTCACTAAACGGATAGCATTGGCATCTGCCGTTGATGATTATTTTTTTTGGACAGAAAGAAATGCAGACAGTGGAACCTCGAACCCTACCTCTTTAAGTGATCCAATATAATCACGAAAATCCTGTCAACGACTAAAGTATTTCCATCCTCTGTCCACAAATGAAGTCTGTTTGTGGGTGTAGGTGTAAGTAAGAGACTATGGTTCACACCCACCTTACACTCATGCTCACGTCCACACCCACATACTCACCGTGGTTTTAAAGTTCGATTCTGGTTATTAAAACTAAGAAAAAAAGCAATTCCAGTTGGGCTCCAATTTCGTTTTGAAACATATGATGCATTCTGAGAGTTTCGTCGAAAGCTCAAATAAACATTGACAAAGGAGATATTGGAGATATTGATTAACTGGTGCCGCTAATCATTAAATAGTACTTGAATTGAAATACCTATTCATTAAGCATATTCATGCAACCTACCAAGCCTTGTTCGAAAAAATCAACTCCTATATCTTCTATGTCTTCTATATCGCATACACTAGCATTTAATTCAGTCTTCGAGGAAACTCTCCGAACGCATCGAATCTTTTGAAACCGTCAAAGTCTAATTACAAGTTTTGCTGTATTGAAAAGATCTGTTTTATTATATTTTGGTTTCACTCTCTATATAAAGTTTTTGACATTAAATTCAAATTGAAACCAAAATCTTTATTTTTCAAATGAAAAAAAAAAAAAACATTTTTCTTTAATTCAATTAATATGTGTAGGAAAAAAAAAGTTTCAAATAAATGTTTGTATATATTCGTATAAAAAAAAAAGAAAATAAAATTCTACAAAGTTACGACCAAACACGTAGGGTTCGATCACGACCAGTTGAAACCATATATTGTCCTTTTAGGTCGAATTTAACATATTGAACTTCATCATGATGACTACTTAATGGTATTAACTTCAAAGAAATTTAATTTTTATAAATTCCAAATCCAAAAGAAAAACAAACATTATTTTACCTGTTCAGTACCAATGTTATAAAGTTTAATTGTTCGATCGCTAGAAGCTGCTGTTAAAAGTTGTCCTTCAAAAAAGAAATTGTACTATTACTGTTTTTTTTTCTAAAGAAATTTTCTTTTTTTTTTTTACCAGTCGGATGAAATGAAACACTATTTGCTGAATAAGGTCCTAAATCAAGTGTAACCATACTTTTTATTGTTCTCACATCCCATAATTTAACTATTCCTTTTGAATCACAAGATGCAATTGTATCACCCTAGAAAATACAAAAATGTATTTTATATAATAAATATCAATTTTTCAAAATAATATACTCGTAAATTAAATGTTGCTTGATTACAAGGATTAGCATGACCAACGAATGTATGCTCTGGTAGACCCTAAGAAATTCATTTTTAAAATAGATAAATTTTCTTTAATTTTATTTACTGTTCGAGCATCCCATAACATAAGAGTCTTATCAACTGAACTGGATAGAATTATATTTGAAAACATTAATAATTCAGCTGAATGAACTGAATCCTGATGTCCACGCATAACTGTTCGACAACGAAGGCTAAAAGAAAATTTGTAACTTTTATTTTATTCTTTTTCTGTCAATATTCTTTGAAACTTTACAGACCTATTTAAATCCCATAAACGAACAGTTTTATCCTGAGAAGCAGAAGCAATAAAATCTCCACATGAATGAAAATGAACAGACCAAACTTGAACAAAAAAACAAAATTTTAATTCGTTTTTTCCTTGAAAATATTACAAATTTGAATTTACCTGGTAGAAGATGATTTGTAAATGTATGAATACATTTTTTTTGTGAAAAATCCCAAATTTTAATTGATGTATCACCAGAACATGTTGCCATTTTATTTCCACTGGGATGAAAATCAACACCAGATCTTTACAAATAATATTTATTTAGAAAATAATAAGATAATCATATTAAATAAATACTTACACCCAATCTGAATGACCTTCACCTTTCATAATCATATCGCCTAAATTAAAATAATAAATTTATTTATGTTAAAATAAAAAAGTTTTATTTTACCTTCAGGAATAGCCCACATTTTCCATGATCGATCATCACTTACCTAATTAAATAACAATGAATAATTCGAATAAGCTATACTTTATTTATACATACTGTTACAGCAACATGTTTACGAGGATGAATAGCAGCACTAGAAAAATATAAATCACAAAATAAATTAGTAGATATTAAAGAGAAAAGGCTTATAAAATAACTTATTTTTCATCTTCATTTTTGTAAGGGTGGAGAAAGCAAAAATTTTGTACTTCATCGTACTTCAAGGGTATGTCAAACTATTCCTTAAAACTTCTTGGATAATTTAAATTTACTATCAACATGTACCTAGAACATATTAGTTTCAGTTCATTTTATACAAGTCTGTTTGATGATAAAGCCCAAATATTTCATCGTAACTCAAGATTTCTTTGATATTAGACTTGCAAAAGTTATAAAGTTCTAGAGAACAGTCTTTATACATCCTTGAAGTACGGAGTTTTGCGAAGCTTTCACTTTTTCTCATCTAGATGAAGCAAAAAATTTGTACATATACGGTAACATTTTAACCTTGCAAACTTTTCTTGCGATAAAAAAAAAACAGATCAAATTGAATATTTTCTCTAAATATGAGAACTTGCTATTTAGGATGTAATCGTCAGGTGTTATGATTGCGTCACGGACTAAATTATTGACAATGCTAAAAAATTTACTTGATAGAAACTCTTCGTGATCATATTTAAAACATCGAGTATTTCTAGATAAAACATTCAACTTCTGAGTGAACGCTTCTTAGTGTCAAATCGCTTTTTGAGTCGGAACTATATGTAGCATGTAGGTTGTAATAAGCTAAGGATAAACTAAAAAAAGAATACTAGATAGTAGCTTATTCCTGTCGAGCTATGGTATTTTTTATCAAAATGTCATGGGCTCTCTCAGGAACACTAAGAAAACTGAATTTAGAACTTCCATTTGAAACGTTGCATAGAGAAACGGTTTAGTGAGAATAGTTTATTGTAAAATTTTCACATTTTTTGATTGTTGTTATCCTAAGATAAGGCTATGATAAACGAATATTTTTCAAACCGTTCTTATACAACATTACATTCCGATATCTCTATTTCAGAATAGACGCAATCGAAAAATCTGAAATTTTTACAATAAACTATTCTCATTCAGACCTTGCTATGCAAAGTTTCAAATCGAAATTTAAAGCAGTTTTTTTGATGATCCTGAGGTGACCACAACATTCTGTTAAAAAATAAAGTATTTCGACAGGAAAAGTTAGTAGCTCATTAGAACCTACAGAATACACATAGGCCAACTTAGAAACAATTTAACATTCACGAACCTTCTCTCGTTAAGCATGGATTTTTTTTTTATAGCATATCAGTTGAATTAATTATTGTGATACACTAATGGACAACAATATAAACATCGTCAGGTACGTCTCCCAGTGATAACTCGACCTGATAACGGACAAAAAAAGTATTATAAGTATATGTTTGACTTTTTTATGATCTTTAAGTGAAAAAGTACTGAATGCTTTATTCATCTAACTGGCTATTATTCAATATTATATTTCAATAATTTTATTCTATTCTCGTTAAAATATCTTGTATTTGAATTGTTTATCTTTTTAAATTATAACAAGGAGATTTTGGAGTCATTTTCTAGACATTCTAATTGATTATTCTTTGATTAAATATTATTGTAATTCACTTACCAACTTATAGGACCGTCATGTGCTTCAATGTCTTTTGCTAATGTTAATGTTGATCGATGAAAAGCATCTTCAGCAAATCGATTTAAATATGGATTATTTCCTGTATCAACAGGAAATTCGGAATCCTAGATATTCACAATATTAAAACAATTAAATAATGAAAAAAAAAAAATTACGAACGCGTGGATGTGATTCATTTGTTGATTCAGATGAACCAGTTAATCGTTGCTGTTCATTTGGTATTGCTAGTCTTTTCTTTTCTTCTTTAAGTCTTAATTCTCGAAGTTTAGTTTGTGTTGGTCCTAATTCTCCTTCTGGCGTATCTACAAAATAGAAAATAAATGAACTTTAAGTCTTTCTCTTGTTTATTATATGTATTTCTTTACTTTGTAATGTTGTCGAACTACCCAGTTTTAATGAATTTAATTCATTTTGTAATTTTTCTTTTTCTAATTTATAAACCATTTTTTCACGCATAGCTCCATCATATTTAGATTTTAATTCATCTAATTGTGGTTCAAATGTTGATAGATGAGATTTTAATCTGATAAAATTAGAAAAAAAAGAAAATTTGTTAGATTGAAAAAACCTTCTTCGTTTTTTTTAACATACCGTTTAACAAATGTAACAAGATTATTTTTTTCTTGAGCAATGCGATTATGATGTTGTCGATGATAATCACGTTCTTTTTTCATTTTAACAAATTCTTCTCGAGCTTTTCTAGTATTAAAAAAAAATAAAAGAAATCAACACAAATATATTCTTTTGATGATTTACTCGGCTGATTTTCGATATCGATCAACTTCTGATTCGAGTAATTTCATTTTTTCACTTAATTCTTCATTATGTTTAACTACATCTGGTAAATAACCACATTCATTTGTTTTAATACGTCCCGAAGATGATAAATTATGCCATTCAATTTGAAATTGTTGCATTGTTTTTTTCATACCCATACGAACAAGAAAATTACGAACAAAATCATCAACAGCTTCTGGTTGAGTAGTTAGTGTACCACGAGGAACTGTTGCAGAAGTCTATAGAATAGAAAAAACAGAATTGTTTGACATAATATCAATGAAAAATAGATACATACTGATGTTGTTGTGACTTGTGATTCACGTTGTTGATCTTTTACATTACGAATAAGTGCATCAAGTGTATCTTCTTTATCTAATATGATATTTAAATAAATTGAAAAATATTCTCATACAAAAAGAAAAGTAATAGCATACCATCATCATAAAATTCTTCAATGGGTACTTCTTCATATTGAAATTCATCGCCATTATCAACTGCACGAACATATCGTTCTATTAAAAACAAAATTTGTTTTATAAAACTATAATAAATAATATATATCGAATTACTTTCAACATAATAAGGAACATCGGCAATATTTGCTAAATCTATTCTTGTTGATGCATTGTTCGATGTTTGCATATCTTTTGGGCCGACATCACGTACGTTGGTCGCAGTCATTGTAGCCATTGGTGATGGTAGGAACTATTTTACTACAGAGTAGATAAACTTAGATGTTTTTCAAATATTATTCTTCATTTGGTAGTAAAGACAAATTATGTTGCTAAACAATCACCTCTATTACAGTATAATAAGCGCCATCTATTTATTATACATTTGATACACGCGCGATCATTTATTTTAATCACTTTACGTTTCATGAATGATATTGAAGACGTTAAATGCAATGAACTTTGATATAAAATATCTTGTATCGAAGATTTTTTATTTATTCTTTAGTCATATTCAATGAATTTCAATCAAGTTCTTGACCTTCATGTTTACTTAGTAATCAAAACAAATCTGTTTTTCTTGACACCATTTATATAAGTCGATTATCAGCTATTGTCAATGATTCATTTTCTATTTGTTGTACAATTTATCGAAGAATCAAGTCAACATGTGGAACTGTTATAAAAAAATAATAGGAATATAAAATCTAATAAATGACTTACAATTATCTCTTTGCCAAGTGACATCAAAGTTATCCTGATCGTATGAAAATTGCAACTACGTTAAGAATTTTTAGACAAAATTTGAAATTGTTTTAGATTTTTGAAAAACAAATATGGCTTCTCCCTAATGTTTTAAGTGTAATACACTAGCAATTGCTCTTAAAATAACGAGTATAACGCACAATAACTTTCACAAGCGAATAAAACACCTCTCACCATCCATGACAGTTTTGACCGAGCATTAATTATATATTTCAATAGTGAATTAGAATATATTAGTAAAGAAAACTTGCCGACGAAAATGTGAAACATATAGAAATAGAAATTAAGAAGTTATGCCTGAACAGTAGAATATGTCTCTGTATTTTAAATGGATTCATATAAAGGTGACAACATTAGATTTACCATTTGATTCGTTTGTAATCTATTCAAAAGCTTAAGGTATTATGACTTTTACTATTTGGGTTCTATTGAAGAATGAATATCAAAGGCAATTCGATTATCTGATAAGTGAATTTTCTGTTTTTGTAATTTGATGATTAATCACAAATCGAATATTTTTATGATTTTCATAATAAAACTGATGTAACTTTCTTATTCAGTACACAAAATACAGAATCATCTTACCAGCATATGACTCAACTATTTGAACTTGGAGGGTAAATTGTTGCAATTAAATTAGATGTGATTCCAGGTGTCACAGTAAAATAGCAGTTAATGAAGGTCTACTGCTTCATCGTATAAAATAATAGCAAGTAGAAAAAGCATACAATCAATTAAAGTTGAAAGAAGAGCAAACAAGAGAAATAAGGATAGAATGAGGAAACATTTATAAAGTAGTACAAAAGTGAAGAAAATCGTGTGCAACAAAGAATGAACGATGGTAACTAATAAGAGACAAATAGTAATACGCAAATAGTATAAGCCCGACAAACACCATCCAAAAAAAGACATCATGGACATGAATAAATATACACACAAAAATAAGACAGAGAGAACTTAATGGATGGTGAACATCGTCACCTATAGACGGAAAGTAAAAAAATATTTGTCCGAAATAGTGCAGTTAAAGTAGCAATAGGTTTCTTGTTGTTTTTTTTATGCATTTTCTGAATATACAATGCAGTATAGCTACAGAGAGAATTAAGTGATTCTCTCTCATTTTGTTTATTTTTTATTTTTCTTAGCATACTTCAATTATTTTTAAACATATTTGATACAAAGAAAAAGTATGAAATCCACTACATCTTATGATATATTCACCTTGAACAATAAATTACGTTTAGAGCTTAAAAGGTGTCTCAAGAAAAAGTGATATTTTATTTTTCTACAATATAGTTTGAGTGAAGCGAATTTTCTTTCTAATTTATTCTATTTATTTTTCTATTAATAGGCATTGGTTCACAGCTTATTTTTTATGCTGGATTCTATCTTTCAGCATAACCGACATAATAAAATAAGATGAAGACTGTCTTGTCTATGGAAAATTTGGAAAATATTCAATTCCAAATCATTTCATATGTCGTGTTCATTTGTGTTGAACATTTAGATCTTCATGTAACATTAAAAAATATCTCGGTGCTCTGAAGGCCTGATGTATGACTAGAAAGACTATTGATCAAAGATACGCTTTTCAGAGAGAAAAATTATTCAAAATTTTCCAGCATTAAGTTTTAAATCATTAAAAGTCGATTACATTTATGCAGTCGATATTATTTACCAAAGAGAAAAGATTTTGTTCACTAATAAAATTCCTGTTTCTACAGCGATTCCTGTTGAGACTTAAACTATCATAAGATATAACTCACGATATTTCTTAAGAACTTTTTGCCATCTAAAAAGACTATATTCGTAACGATTGTTCAGAAAAAAAGCTCTCTAAACGTAAAAATCATTATAATATGTTGTTAAAACTAAAGATCAACGATTTGTTGAAGTGAACCACGAGTTTATAGTCATTATTTTTTTTGAAGAAGCTAACAATTTGAATTTTATTTTGTAAACTATTTGATTCTTTTCCGATTTTTTTTACGGATAAAAATAATAAGAATTTCGAATTATCAAAAGAGGCTACATTATGATACCACTTTCCGGTCGGGTGAGCCCTGCATGCTGGATGATTCTGACCTCTTGCAACGCACTTTATCATATAAAGAAATCTTCTTTTCAGTTTTTCCTTAAATCTCATAAAAAAATGTTGATTCAGCAGCACAAGAACAGACGAGTGTAATTGGTGAAGCGCACGATTTTTTTCTTTTTTTTTTGTCCATAAGAACAAATAATTTTCTATGAAATCTCCTTCGTGCTGCCATTGAGAAAATAAAATGTAATAAATTCTTATGATAGTTACATGTCCTATTCAAATTTACTTTTTTTTAATCAACATGTAGTATTTCCTTTCAAAGAACAAAGCACGATGAATAGCCGTGACTTCACAAACAATTTTTTTTTATTTATCTTGAACTTGTTTTTCTTTCAATCGTAGGTTGGGAGAAAGTAGTAAAAAAAATGATGAAACAGAAGTTTTTGAATAAAAATATATTTTTTGTAGTTAAAAACAAACTCATTATTGCAGGAAAAATAGTTGTTTCAATAAAATAACTTACAGAGAAAGAGTATACAATGAATAAGATCACTGAATTAATCACGGTTCTTGTCTTGATATCGATGACAGCAGTCAGAGGTCAAAGTAAGTATATGAAATAGAAAAAGATATTCAATATAAAATTAAATGAAATATTCAGATTGTTCAACTTATGACCCATGTGGTCCATATGGCTATTGTCAAGATAATATCGATGGTAATTGGGAATGTCAATGCAAATTTTGGTGGATTGGAACGTTTTGCAATCAACGTGAGTTTTGAACAATTACTTCAACACTAATACTTTAATAGTGTTGAAGATTAATTTTTCTCAGTTTTTACTATGAACTTCGGTGTTTATTCACTATTAGCAAAATAGATGGTTGTGAACTCTCGTTCTCTTTGATTAGGTGTCTCTTGACATCGAATTTATATGACTTTTATACTATCAAAAGAAATGTTTAGTTGATTCAAGTAAATTATCAGAAATAGATCATTGTAGTCGTTAAAAAAGATCCTTAGTTTAACTTGCAGAAATTTATACCATAGAACTCTTTCAAAAAAGGAATAAAGATATCGGTGTTATACATAACAAAACGGCCTCATAATAACAAAGGTTTAACATCTGATGTCACCTGTAGATAATTGGGTTGTACAGAAAATAGTAAGAACAGCATTTTAATACTTTCATAAGAAGTCCTTTTATTAAGTACAGTCGTAAGATTCTTATGAAATCCTAACTATTCTCCCTGATCTGCTTTAGTTCAAAAAGCGAAATCAAGAAATGATAATTACTTTATTCTATTTCATAAAGACTTTCCTAAAGATAATTGGTCTTATGTAAAAGCATATTCTTTTTTCTATCTCAAATTCTTTCGTTTTGTTTTTCGTTCGTCAATATATTAGTTTTTGATAATCAATGTAATAAAAAAGACTGTTCGACAAAACGTAATCTTATACAGTACTAGACCAAAGCATTCACCCTCATCGAGTTTTGAGCTATCTACGCTCTTGGTTTGATTGAAGTTCATCAATGCTTTCTAGAACTGTGCCTACCCACTGTGATTGCTCTAATCTGAAGAAAAACAATCTGATACTCCATGCAAATCATAACTCAGTAATAGTTCAATGAAGTGAGCTCCAACTTCTAGAAAACCTTAGCCAATAATTAAACATCATCGTCCACAAGTCTCAGAAAAGGATCTTGAACTAAAAAGACATAGCATGCCGATGACCATCGTATTGGTGTAAAGGAGACCGAGACATTCAACGATAGCAATCTTTCATTAAATAAGCTCATTTTTCTAGTAAAGATCATACAATTAGATGAGAATCTAATTGTATGATAAAATATCACAAGTTAGTCATGTATTGAATAAAAAACAATCCGAACTTTAATATACAAAGTTGTTCAGACTAAAAATCTACAGGTCACAATCAATACAGTTCATCGTAAAACTGTTTTACTTACGCAATCGTCGTGTGACTGTATCGCTGATTCACACTCACATTAGAATGTATATACAAATTTTCAAAGCCATAGAGTGTATGAGAGCTAAGACTCAATGGAGCGGAGACTTTTCGTCCACTATTTTACCAACCAAAGATGGGCACAGAACAGTAAGGAACCTTATTTTGACTATCGATGAACAAAATACATATTAGTTTGTTAGTTATCTTATAGCTAATTTATTTTATCTCATTTTCGAAAACAACAACTATAGTTGTCAACAGTGGCTAATATTATAAATACAAGAAAATATAGAAACACCTTGATCTATTATTTTAATGACACGTTCATTATCAGAAATGAATGTAAGAAAATATGAATTTGTAAGGTTCTATCATCATTATCTCAATATATAGTTCTACAATTAATACAAAATAATAGACCAATGAAAAAGTACCTGATCATAAACAATATACAAAGAAGAAAATCTATATATAAAACAAAACAATTAATGTTTTATCATTGTTTACTTAATTCAAGTGTCATGAAATTGTATATACAATGTGAAAATTATAAGAAAAAGCAGATTAACTATAGCACGGAAATGGGCCCAGGACAACGTTTTCTGTTCTGTCCTACTACATGACTTCGTCCTGGTTAGCGGTAGAACAAGACATAAATTAGAGTCTTGTTCTGTTCTACAGGACGAGACAGTACAAGACACCAGGACAGTAGGACAGAACGGTTCTGTGCCTATGTCTGTTACTATCTCTATAGTTTCTATTGTTTTTGTAAAAGTTCATTATTCTTTTGCCTTTAGAATCTAGTAGTGGTATTCAAGTAATAACACTTGGTATTTTATCAGGTATCCTGATAATTGTGTTCCATGGCCTTTCTACTTATTTTTCAATATATAAGAAAAAGCAACATAGACAAGAAGAAACAGAAAAGTTAAATTAAAGTTAAATTTAAAAAAAGTATTTTTTGTTCTCTTTCTAAGAGCTAAGCAAAATGATTTATCTAATCCAACACGGATACATATGGCATTCACTAATGTAAAAGAATCAGCTCGTTTTTCGTCTTTTTTTATTGCTATTTTGATGTTAATAATAACAGTAACAGGATTAATTGTAAAATGGTCCCTTTTACGACCAATTCATAATGAATTAGTTAATAAATATAAACGAGCAGATTTATTATTTTATGAAAGAAATTCAATATGCACTTTTATCGATTTGGAAGATTTCAATATGTTAACATTTCCAGTAGCATGTTTTTTTTTGTTGATTTTCATTATTTTTTCAAAACGAACATCATGCATGAAGCAGAAATTAAATGGACATGTTGCACCTATAGTACCAATTGATTTTTATGTACATATAAAAAGAAAATTTGCTGCTGTTGTATTTGCTATTATTTCTGATGAACTTTTGGATATTGTTAATCAAGTTATTAATGGAAATACACCAAAAGGAGAAGGTTTGAATATAGTTTTCAATTTTCAATTTTAATGTAATCACAATTGTTCATTTAGGTGTCATTGTGGTTTATTTATTACGAATATTAAAAGTATTATTTATTGGTTTTCGTTATTATCCTATATTATCTGCTGTTTATATCGATTCAATTCTAACGCTTGCATGTGCTACACTGTATGCTTGGTTCGATTTTAGTATTTCAATAGTTTATCAAGGTTTATGTCAAAGTGATTTTTATCCATCAGATGATAATTTTGATGAAACAAATGGAACAGATATTGCACGATTATTTGAATATTATGGCACAGGTCAAAATTTAATAATCATTCAATTATTTACAGATATTCCTCGATATCTCTGTTGGTCATATATACTTGTGAAATTACCAATTTCATTAATAAACAAAATTGTTCAGATAAGAAAACATACAAATGAAGATCAAGCCAAACATTTACATTTAACAAGAGAAGAAAAAATTCTTTTACATTCATCAACTATTTATTCTGTTGACATATCTTATGTACGAAATCTTTTTCGACCAATTCATCAACGTATAACTAGTCGTTTATTTTTGGCACATTTAATACCAAAATTCATCTATCAATGGCGTGATGATTTTCGTTTTTCATCACGTATACTTTGTGTTTATTCATCAACATTTCTTCTTTTATTTTTTATGACAATTCAAGCATGTATACTTGTTATACCATATTTAGATGAACTACAATATTCATTGCAACAATTAATTGATCAAATATTAACATCAAGCGATCAACAAAACAAACAAAGTAAATTTCCATTGCCAAATTTTGTTCGTCCATATGTTTTTGCTATATTAACAGCATTAATAGTAACAATAATTCAATTATTAGTTTTATTGACAAATATTCGACGGAATTTATTTCAAATATTTCGTGGTGATGATTCAGAAATTCCAAAAAGGGATAAATCAAAATATCTTAGTTACAGTACAGGTAATTTTCATTTTGCTGGTTTTTTCATTGGTTATCTTACATGGGGTTATGTTTTAATTGCTCTATTTGCATTGATTATTTATATATCTATTGATGCTTTTATCACATTTGGTAGTGTTAAACTTCTTGAAAAAATTCTTAAAATTATAATACCAATATTATTATTAATTTTATTTAAAATGTATCTTAATAAATTATTAGCAAGATATGTTTTTTTACAATATCATGGAGATATATTAGCAATAAATAATCGACGAGTACTAATGATATTTTTATATTTCAACTTTTTTCTGGATTCATTTCTTGGTTTTATATCATCAATAATACGTATTATTAAAAGTATTATTGGTGGATGTTTATATATGTCTCGTCTTGATTATTCGCCAATGGGTAGAAAACTTGAAACATTCGATGCAGGTTTTTCAGCCTATTGTGGTTTTATTCATATGGAAGCTGTACATCGAAATCCGATTATGTTAGTCACTGCAAGTTATTTATATAGACGCATGAAAGTCAAACAGTATATGACTAAAAATCTTATGATGATGAAAAATGATAACAAAAGTTCCAAAGATTATTCATCAAAGGCAATTCAAAAATGGTATTTAGCAGTACTTTTATTACGAAATCCATCATTAGTATTCTTAAGAAAACATGCTCTTTCTCAAATTGAGAATAAGAAACTGAAAACTTTGAATGAAATCAACAGAAGACAATCGAATATTCAAGAAACATTTCGTCGATCAAGTCTTGTTTCAGAGATTGATTTGTAAAATATGTGGCGCAATAACACTAATCGATACATTATTTTTGATATATGAACATGTATTATTAAATAGATATACTCGATTAAGTTTATCGCCCTAATTTATTGAAAGCTTTTTTATATTTCGAAAGAAAAAAGTTATTTTTGTTATCAACACGCTCCATCTCTTAAGACTAAAACAACCTTGTCGTGCAAATCCTACGAAATTGCTAGAAACTTTTGGAATTCGACGAAAATGACGTAAAAAATCTCAACAGAATGGACAATCCTTCACTGACTATATGTATCCATTATTCGAATGTACTATCTCAAAGCGACCCAGTTGCTATTATATTCCGCTTCATTAATAGATTCTTTCTTCTGCATTTCCTTTTCATTTCACTATGAGTTATATGCATGATTGCCACTTATTTACTCGATTCAATATTTACGCAGATTCTTTTTCATGTTAAAGACTGCCGTGTTAAACGATCGTTATTCTTGAGTTTCCTGTTTTGAAGTATTCACGCTAAAAATTCGCGTCCTTAACAGCTATCAACGCGATGCTCTTGAATTATAATTTTTTAAAAATCAATAAAACACGAAGCTACTTTCAAAATAATTATTGTTTTCAAAATCAATCAAAACAAAAATTGTTACACATTGAATATTCTTCCTTTTTTTTTTCATATTTCTTCAAAGAAGAATATTAAGTATACGAATTATAAGTATTATGATTCAAAGTTATTGTCTAACAATTTTTGAAACGTCTATTTCATGATAGCGATAAATCAAACATACGTATTCAATGATTACAAAAAAAAAACAGAGACATTTCTATTCGATTTTAACGTTTAAAATTAACAGTTGGTTTTGCAGCTGTTTTCCAAAAGACTTGATCATCTTGCTTTGTAGGCCATTTCTCTGTATACTTATTTACTTGTATTATTTCATCTTTCAGAGTATAGACCATAAAGAGTATAATATTATATCATTATTCGAAGTTCTATTGATTCATCGTTGAAAGAAATAACATAGAAACATTACTGCTTTATCGACAACCTAAATTTATGAAAATATTAATATCAACATTTTCAAACTCTTCGATTAGATTCAATCAAATTTCTTTTCCACCCTTGAGCAAATATTTTCTATCCGCGTTAGATGCAAGCTACTAGTTGATTAATGCATTATTTGAGATACATTTGCATTGATAAATTATTTATTAATTATACCAAACATATGGGAAGTGTATTATGCTGTTGCGATCGCTAATTTTCTCTGAATTTCCATTAAAAAATGGTCTAAGTAGCTAAATACTATTAGGTCTCTTCAGAGTTGTTGGCTTATTGTCAATTATTCTTTAAGGTATTATCTTATTATTATTATGAATATATTGATAAATAACTCTTATGTTTTTTTAGCATTGAGGCGTATAGTGGAACGTTTCTCGTTTGATACTTCAATAAATTTATTCACTTTAATTTGTTGATATTATGAATAGAAAGTCCTCATGGGAATCTTTGTTTTACGCTTCACAATCTTAGTCGATCAAACGCCTTTGTTTTCATAATGTAATATAAATAGATAACATTTTTTAAAAGAGAATGCGAAGATGATATATTTAATTTATATTTATATTCAGAACAAAACTAACTACACTATCAGAAGATCGTTTCTTTGTCCAACTTTCCAAAAAATTATTAGCAAAAATATGAAATCTATGAGTCTTTCATATCGTAAGAGAACTTCTGAAAAAGATTGTTACTTTTGTACAAGTTTTCTCAACTGTTACACATGGAGACATATGCTAATATAATTAAATTTAATAAATCAATTTTCTACTCTTTTTAATGTCGTATTCAATAAGCTTAATTGAAGAAATAAGAGTTCTAATACGATTAGGAGTTAAAGCAATTAAATCTGCAACATTTCATAAATAAACAACGATCATCTTTTTCTTCTGAAAAGTTTAACTACTGATAAATAATTGTATTTTTAAATACTTCATTCTACTCAATTGAACAATCCTATATGAAAAAAACTCATTTGAACGAACAAAAAATTTTTTTTAATCGATTACTTTTATCTTCATTCCGTAATATTATTTAATGTTAAATAATGTAATAATAAAACTCTTTTTTTTAATGAAAACCTTGACATGAGATAATACTTCTAATTATAAAAAGGACAAATTATACTGATAGAGGCATCGAGATCATGTATACATCTATTGATATCAATATACTTGTTCTTTGCTTTTGCCTTTTAGTAACTTAACAAACTGAAATTACTTTACTTGAAGAACAAAAGGATTCACAATTTAGTATATTTAACTTTTATTTCAGTCATATATTATTAAGTTAACAATTCCAATGTATTATCATATCGATGAAAATATCTTATCAAAAATAAACGAATACTTGTTAGGAATTCTATTATATTTGATGCCGTTTAAAAGTAAATTAATTGTGTTTTTCATTATATATATATATATATAATAAAATTGAAGTTTTTTTTGATTCAATCATATTAGTTAAGATAATCATTTCCTTATAACAAGATTTCTTCAAAGCAGCTTGTAGGGCATTGTAAGTTAATGTGCATAATCAAACATTTTGTTGAGGCACGCACAAAGATAATGCTAAAAATGATTCAAATTAGTGATGCAGGCTTACATTCAGAGTATTCATATGTCATACATACAATAAGCCTACTATTTCGATAGAATAATTTCGATAATCTTTCCAGTTATTTCTTATCGAAAATATGCCCTTAACTTTTATTTCATTGTCCAAAATATGAATTTGATTTATACTAATATGTAATGAAGCGATTATACCGATTCCTTTTTTTTTTTTTCTTTATCTTTCCTGACTTACACGAAGTTTCTTATCTATTACCATGAGATGATGAATATAATTGAAAAAATAGGCCAGTATATATCTAGACACATAATGACATATTATACAAACCACCAGTATAAGCGGAAGTGTATAATGTATATAGGCATGAACTTTTCAGCTACAGATAACTGGTTTTTTTCTTCTATTCTTTTTTTTTTTTTGCATTCTACTTTCATGACAATTGCTTTGATGCTTAATGTTGTCTACAAAGTGCCTATAGCCGTTATGTTCGTTATTCTTTTGAGAATTACATCTGTTAGTTCGTTAAACAGACGACAAGAATTATTCATTCTTTACCTATTGATGAATAGTATTGACCTTAATTGTTAAGTTCTCCTACTGTTTTCTCTCGTGACTTATGTCAAAAACTAGGACTGTCATCATTAGCGATATGCATATTGTTTCATTTGATAGAACTTTTTATTTATGATCCATTCTTTCTATTTTTCTTCGTATCTGTTTCTGAAAAAAAACATAATAACAATAAAAATTTAGACAGAATACAGATCAAATTACAAACTATGATACAGAAATGTTGACTTGTCAACACTAATCGAGTCATTTGTATGATTGAATAATAACACAAAAAGTATTGTTATTAAAATAATTCAAAGCTTTGTGTTGTCTTCTAAAAGATTATATTTTTTCTTCGTAAGAGTTGAGAATAACCTATTATTATATGATGAAATTGCGAGTAGAAAAAAAGACAACAGAAAGAATTTTTTTTTGTTTTTTCCGCTATTGTTTTCAATTTAAAACTAACAATATTGTTTCTCGATCATTCTTTTTTCCCCGATATGAAAAAAAGTTAAACGACGTTGAATAGCTTTGTTTTCTTTCAATCGGGTAGAAATCAAAAGTTCTGTATGTCATGTAAGAAACAAGTTTATGATAGCTTATTATTAAGCTGTTTTCCTCAAACAGGAATTTGACAAAGTATTTTGACATAGAATATTAGAATAGTTAATAAAAAAAATAGTGTCATTACATTAATATTTTCATAAGTTAACTATTTTCTAGTACAATCTTTGTCATATTGAGATCTATATGCATGTTTATGGAGTAAAGAATCTATTTTGAGTAATAATGGTGCTTAGTACCAAATATGTAATTGTTTGATCTTTACCTCTGGATTATCTTATTGTTAGTTTTTCTTTTCATCTATATTAGCCATTGATATATCTAACATGCAAAGAATTTAGCTAATTGTTTTCTAATAATATCTATGTTTTTCTTTGAATGAAATTAGGAGAGAAGATAAGAGAGAAACATACACAGGAAACAATGTATATGACAGAAATGTATTTATCTTCTTCTTTCTTTTTTCTTAATTATTGCAGATTTAACAATATGTGTGACATACTGGTTAATAGGATCATTTTTGCATTAATGAGTTTCCTGAACTTCTACTATACGTTATCTTCTTTTCTCAATTAAAGATAAATGCTCCGTTGAATAGAAAAGTATATATTGCTGATAGCCGTTCTTGTATATAGATTTTCCTCTTCTTCTCTTTTTTTCTCTGTTCCATTTTTCTTTTTTCTCTGTTGTATATATATATATATATATTAATTTTTTACCATTATTAATAAGAACATCAACACCAGAGAAACAGGCGATGTGAACTAATCAATGTTATAATAGATAGAAGCAAAATACAATATATTTCATATATATACACAATTTTCTCATTTTCTCCTTTTCTTCATATATTCTTGTTGTTTCTACTATTTGTCTCATTGGTAAGTTTTTTTTCTTGTGATGACAATGATTATCATCCTAGTTTCCTTTCAAAAGTCATCAACAAGCTAATCAATTCTAACCAGTAACTGAATATAAGACAACAGAGAGAAAAAAAAAAGAGGAAGAGATTTAGATGACAAATAATCGTCATATGCTTGGTTAGTTGAATACGCTAAATCAGTCAACAACAAAGAACGTCTTTTTTTTTCATATTTAACATAAACAATTGACACTAGTATTTCACATTGTATATGCTTATTGTTGCAGGTCATTCTCATCCCTTTTCATTTTTATTTCCTCTTTCTGGTCGTCATCATCATCATTATTTACTTGTTGCCAACATATTGTCGTCGCAATGAAATCTCAAATGTTCACTCTG